CTTTATGTTTGATCGAAGTTGAAGTCATGACTTCAACTTCGATCAAACATAAAGCTTTATACTCAGTTTTTATTTTTGAATCTAAAGAGAATAATTTTAAAATGTTTGAATAACGAGAAAGTAAAATATATGAATTTTTTTTCAAACTGAGGCGTTTTTCAAGAATTGAGACTCTTCAAGTATTTTCAATTCATTGTGTTTATTCATAGGAACTGTTTTCAAAATTTTCTGCGCTTTCATTTTCAAACTTGTTGCAACATCTCACTAAAATTATCCGTTAAGACAGATGATTATTTTCATATGTAGACGAATTCAATAAGTTTGATGGATTAAAAGTTTTCTCCACAATTACGTTTCTCTGGTTACTCGTTTTTTTTTTATTTATTTTCTGCTTATAAATATTGAGAGTTATTTCATTAAAAATTTGGTATTTCTCAAGGTTCTTTTTCATGATTATTACATCTTTCTTAGGGAGTTTCAAAAAAAATACATTAAACAAATTGACTCCCATAATGTACTATTGAAAAGGATATAATTGCACTTTTTCTATATCACGGATAGACCATGCTGTTACTTCATTTTTTATAATTACACCTTTCTTTAAGCAATATTTGTTTACCTAGATAGATGAATAAATATGTACAAGTAACGTTGACTAATTTCTTGTAAATACTTATTTTTTTCTTTATAAATAACAACCGATTCTTCGTATTTTTTGCAAACTGAAACAACAGTACAATTGGATAGTAGAAAAATACAATGCAACCAGTTACATATTCCCTTTTGGTGAGTTTTTGATCAATATCAGGCTAGAGTTTACAAGTACGAAGTCTTGTTATAAAATATGTTTTAGTTGACATGTTTGGCAGTTATACTGCCATCTTGTTATGGTATTTCCTTCCCAAATATTTTCAACCCTATACAGTCGCATGTCAATCCTGTTGCTATTGAGGCGAAGGTGTGTAGTGCTGTTCAAAACGGTACCTCTGAAACTCAATTAAAAGTACTTAATTTGTACAGTAGAGTTTTGGAATTGGTTGCCAACTTACAAAAATATTCGATATTGTCACAAACAATAGGCGGTCTTCAAACAGTTATCTACATTCAGAATGTTGAAAATCGAGCACTGCTCATTACAAATTGTCATCAATTCTTTGTCGGACTACAACAAGCTGGCGATGCTGATGTACAAACTATTGCAGCATTGCTCCCACAATCACAAATGCTAATCAATTCGGTCAAGCAACAAGTCATGGACATGATTACCTCAGAAATGGGGCCTCTTCCAACCTGAAAATAAAATATATAGAAAGAGCTCTAAATTCCACGCTCAAATCTAACTCCTATTTTTTTTTTAATGGAATGTAATATTTGCATAATTTTTATACGTCAAATAAAGAAATACATGAGAAATGGGGTGCTTATCGAATGAATATGGCGTCCAAGCAAACCATAGAAACATACTTGAACATATTACATATACAATTGTAATATATTGTATATACACATTTGTATGAAGGAACTTTTTCAGTTTTTTTATCTTTTCAAACCTTGAAAATTAGTTTTCATCATTTAGACAACAACACTATTCTTTTCATTTATGTCGCTCATATTAGTTTGCATCACGTTAATCTATCCATCAAGTGTTGTTAAGTCTAGAGACTTCATGTTTTGGAACAGCTTTTCTTTTTTAAGTAATTTTTTGCTGCTATCGATTGACCTGATCAGTCTTGTCCATTTGTGACTTCTTTCTGTTATTCCTGTCTTTTTTTGCAAGGCAAGATCTTTCATTGTTACGTTTTATTCTATACACATGATTTTCTGCGTCTATTCAGCTATTGTCTCTCTCTTTCATTCTAGTATTTTCAATACACTATAAAAGTAGCAAAACTTTTTTATTTTGTGTGTGTGTGATTTATGCTATAGCCTTCTTCTTTATTATCTGTAATTATAATTATATTCGTGCGTATTTATTAAACTGGATCTATTTTAAACAAGATTAATTAGTTGTCTACTATTTTCAACACAAAATTTGCGACCTTGAACTTTAAATTAGAATGAGTAATTGAATTTTGCTCTATGACATCTGCAAGCAGAGGGTGTTTTTATGAAAAATCCATCTTTTTAATATCGTAAAGGGTGTTAGAAAGTTTTTTAGAATATTATTCTCTATCATATTGTTGTCTCTTTTTATTCTTGAAAGAGAATGTAAAGGAATCACACGAAAATGGGTGACTGGTTTAGTTCGTCACATGAGTGTATTTTCTTTTTTTTCGTAAAAGCACCCTCCGCTTGCTGATGTCATAGAGAAAAAATTTCAATTACTCATTCTAATTTAAAGTTCAAAGACGCAAATTGTGGGTTGAAAATAGTAGACAACTAGAACTATAATGAGAAAAAAAAGTAGTCTTTGAAATTTTTTAATGACTGAGTTACACAAATTTTGGTGACACAGTCGCTCACTCTGTGGAGAATGAAAAAAAAGTTCATAACTATTGAAAGAAGCCGCATAAGCACAAATCCCCTTAGGCTTTTCGTTAGAATGATATTTTCTATATGTGCGCAAAATATCAACCAAAATGGCTTGAATCAGTTGGTGATCTTCCCTCATAAGTACTCTCCAAAAGAAGAAGCCCAAGAATAAAAAAGATCTAATATCACCCAATTCAACTAGAATACTAGATCTTTATTCAATTGCAACTATTTGATAACGACAGTGGAAATCTAGTACCCTAGAGATCGATTCTTATATAAGAATCTTACCAGAAACCTATAAGTCTCTTATCAGTATCTTATAAAATTCTTATAAGAATCTTATCAGGTTCTTATATAAGATTGTTTAAGATTTCCCATCGA